CAACAGCAGCAACAACTAAAATGGATATCACATGTGGCTAAAATTCAAAGAAAAAAATTGAAAATTATAGTGTCAGAAATAATCTCATTTTACTTTTCACCTTGTTAAAGAATTTTTTTTTGCTTTTTTTAACAATTTTGAAACAAAAATTTACCAAATAACAGAAACCTTTAATGAACTTTAAAACCACAGGAGATTAGCAAAAAATGTATTCCCAAAAATAAAGAATGAATCACATGTAAGTCAAAAAAAAAAACATGAAATCAAAAATTTTTAAAAACAAAGATCATTCTTTGAATTGGAATTTTTTTCTTGGACTGGTGAGGAATATTTTGGAACTAGAATCAGAAAACAAAGAAAAGAAGGATAACCAAATAACAGAAACCACATCACTTGAGGACATTCAACAGCAGCAACAGTAAATGGACAATATCAAAATAATTTGTAAAAAGAAAATAATGAAATTTTAAAGGAGCAAGATCAAATTTTTTTCAATTTTTAAACATGTTTTATACAGAATCACAAACAAAGAAAAAACCAAATAAAAAAAAAACCACATCACTTGAACATTCAAGACAGCCAATTTTAAAATGGAATATGTAAGTTCAAAGAAAAAAAATAATGAAGCCTGAAACAAGCATCATTTTTTTGAAACCAATTAACATTTGGAATTTTTTGGAGGTGTTAAAAACAGAATCACAAACAAAGAACTGTACCAAATAACAGAAACCACATTTTGATTGATGACTTTCAAGCAGTAGCAACAACTAAAATGGATATTTACAGAATCATAATTTCAAAGAAATGTATTAATGAAACAGAAAATTTGTCTTAAAAGATCATCCTTCTTTGAATTTTATTGGACTGATGCTACAAATCACAAACAAAGAACTGTACCAAATAACAGAAACCACATCACTTGAGGACTTTCAATAGCAGCAAAAAATTAAAAATGGATATCATTAAGTCAAAAAAAAATTTGAAGCCTGAGTGTCTTGGCAAAGATCATCCTTTTTGAAAAACCTTGTTTTTTTTGCTACAGAATCACAAACAAAAGAACTGTACCAAATAACAGAAACCACATCACTTGAGGACTTTCAACAGCAGCTTTTAAAATGGGTTAAAATGGATAAAAAAAAAATTCAAAAGAAAATAATGAAGCCAACACTTTGAAGAATGGAAAGATCATCCTTATTTTGAACCTTGTGGAATAAATGGACAGAATCACAAACAAAGACTGGACCAAATAAAAAATAACAGAAAAACATCACTTGTTACAGTTTCAGCAACAAAAAAAAAATGGATATCACATGTAAGTCAAAGAAGAAAATAAGAAAGCCTGATTTCAAGTTGGCAAAGATCATTTTCTTACAAAACCTTGTGGACTAAGTTTGAAACAAACAAAGAAAATTAACCAAATAACAGAAACCAATTTTTGAAGACTTTCAACAGCAGCAACAAATAAAATGGATATCACATGTAAATATCAAAGGAAAATAATAAATGAAATTGTGTATTTGCAAAGATCATCCTTCTTTGAACTTTGTGGACTGGTGCTACAGAATCACAAACAAAGAACTGTACCAAATAAAGAAAACACACATCACTTGAGGACTTTCAACAGCAGCAACAACTAAAATGGATATCAAATGTAAGTCAAAAGAAAATAATGAAAAGTGTGTTGTCTTTTTCAAATGATCATCCTTTTTGTTTGATTTTTGGTTTGGTGCTACAGAATCAAAAACAAAGAACTGTACCAAATAATTAAGAAACCACATCACTTGAAGACTTTCAACAGCAAAAACAACTAAAATGGATATCATTGAAAAAGATCAAATGTTGAAAATTTTGAAGAATGATTTATGTCTGAGCAAAGATCATCCTTCTTTAAACCTTGTGGACTGGTGCTACAGAATCACAAACAAAGAACTGTACCAAATAACAGAAACCACATCACTTGAGGACATTTTCAACAGCAGCAACAACTAAAATGGATATCACATGTAAATTTTTGAAAATAATGAAGATTGAGTGTCTTGGCAAATTTCATCCTTCTTTGTTATTGTGGACTGGTGCTACAGAATCACAAACAAAGAACTGTACCAAATAACAGAAACCACATCACTTGAGGACTTTCAACAGCAGCAACAACTAAAATGGATATCACATTATAATCAAAAATATACGTTTAATGAAGCCTGAGTATGATTGGAAAGAAATTTTTTTTGAAATTTTGGACTGGTGCTAAACAGAATCACAAACAAAGAACTGTACCAAATAACAGAAACCACATCACTTGAGGATTTTTCAATAGCAGCAACAATAAAATGGATAACATGTAATTCAAAGAGAAAATAATGAAGCCTGAGTGTCTTGGCAAAAATCATCCTTCTTTGAACCTTTTCATTGGACTTTACAGAATCACAAACAAAGAACTGTGAAAATAACAGAAACCACATCACTTGAGGACTTTCAACAGCAGCAACAACTAAAATGGATATCACATGTAAGTCAAAGAAAAAATAATGAAGCCTGAGTGTTTGGCAAGATCATCCTTCTTTGAACCTTGTGTTTTGGTGCTACAGAATCAAAAACAAAGAACTGTACCAAATAACAGAAACCAAATCACTTGATTTTTTTCAACAGCAGCAATTTTTAAAATTAATTTTCATTAAATAAAGAAAAAATAATGAATAAATGTTTTTAAAAAGATCATCCAATTTTTTTGAACCTTGTTTGGTGCTACAGAATCACAAACAAAGAACTGTGAAAAATAACAAAAAACATCACTTGAAGACTTTCAACAGCAGCAAAAATTTAAAATGGATATCACATGTAAGTCAAAAAAGAAATTAATTTTACCTGATGTCTTGGAAAAAATCATCCTTCTTTGAACCTTGTGGTTTGGTGAAACAGAATCACAATTGAAAAGAACTTTAAACCAAATAACAGAAACCATTTTACTTAAGGAAGGAAAACAGTCAGCTGTTTTTTTAAAATGGATATCACATAAGTCAAAGAGAAAAAATGAATACTGAAATTGTCTTGAAAAAAGATATCCTTCTTTGATTATTTTTTTGGACTGGTTTTACAGAATCACAAACAAAGAATTAAACCAAATAACAGAAACCACATCATAATGGATTTTTTCAACAATACAGCAACAAAAAAAAATGGATATCACATTATTTTCAAAAAAAATAATGAAGCCTTAACTTCAATGGCAATTGATCAAATTTCAATTAAAAAAAAAAATTAATTTTATATAATTTTTGTTGCTAAAAGAAAACAAACAAAGAATGAACCAAATAACAGAAACCACATCACTCATGGGACTTTCATAAGCAGCAACATGATAAAATGGATATCAAAATGTAATTTATCAAAGAAAAAAATAATGCTTTGAGTGTATTAAAATCAAAGATCATGATAAATTTTGAATTTTTGTGGAAAAAAATAAACATGAATAACAAATAAAAGAACTGTACCAAATAACAAAACCACAAACTTGAGGACATTCAATAGCAGCAACAACTAAAATGGATATCACATGTAAGTATTGAAAAAAATCTTGCCTTAAAAAAACAAAGATCATCCTTTTTTGATTATGGGACTGGTCTACATTAAATCAAAACAAAGAACTGTAGAAAAATAACAGAAACAATTTTCATTTTTTCCAAAAATCATTTAACAACTAAAATGGATATCAAAATTGTCAAAGAGAAAATAATAAATTCTTTGTCTTAAAGATCATGCTTCTATTTAAATTTTATTTGGTGCTACAGAATCACAAACAAAAACTGTACCAAATAAGAGAAACCACAAGTTCAAGAGAATAAAAACATTAACAACTAAAATGGATATCACATGTAAGTCAAAGAGAAAATAATTCATTTTGAGTTATATTTGCAAAGATCATCCTTCTTTGAAAATTGGACTGGTTACAGAATTTTAAACAAAGAACTGTACCAAATAAGAGAAACCACATCACTTGAGGACATTGAACAGCAACAACTAAAATGGATAATGAACATGTAACTCAAAGAGAAAATAATGAAAAAAAATGTATAAAAAAAGATCATTTTTTTTTTTGTGGACTGGTGCTACAGAACAACAAACAAAGATTTAAAAAACCAAATAAAGAATATACATCATTTAAAAATAAACAACAGTTAAAAATATTACAAAAGAAAAAATAATGACAGGTTTGGAAGGAAACTCCATCAATATTGGAAAGATCAATAACTGCTACTTGATCAAACTGTTTTCTTAAAAAATGTCTTTAAAGATATTTAATTAATTTCCATCAATGGTAGTAATGCCTGCTCAGTTTGACTAAAAACATCAACTTTTATAAAGAAAACGTTAATATTAATATTTAATGTTTGACAGGTGAACAAAAATAATACCTAAATTAGAACAATTAAGAAATTTAAAATTTTTTGAATAGTGTTTCTTCATCTATATGAATTAACTGATTTGTTTTTTACGGCTTATCAACCCATTTATGTTTATATAACGCCGAAACATCATGCCTCTTTTTTGGCGAGTGAATATTACATTTATAATCTTTTGAGATAAAATATTATATTTACAAATTTCTGAGATTTTTTTTCCAGATAAATGTCCTGCTATTTAACCAGTAGATTGGGGAGAAGGTGAATTCATACCTTTCCCCGGGTTGTTGGTGCGTAAGTGAATGCAACGAGCCTGACAGAAATACGAACTCGGCTCTTCGATTTCTCATTACAAGCAATTATCAAATACACCATCCGCACATCCCTATAAACAGCAACTCCAGCGAGAAAGAGAGAGAGATAAGAGTCGCTCTCAGACATCGCAGCCGAGAGTGTAAGGTCCACGTTTCGGGTGAAAAGGCTTGGGGCTCCAACACACAAAATAGACGACATTAATTGACAAAGTACAGTTTTCAATAAATTGTAATATTAAATGTGGATGATTAAGTGCCTTGTTTTTATTTATAGTGCACAACGATTTCA